TAATACGGGGATAAGGAGATAGACGTTATAAGGTATTAGCCTCGTAGAAGTTAATAATTTCTAAGAAAGTTTATTTATCGTCGGAATTAATATCTTTAGCTCGAAACTCCTTTAATAAAGAGTCTTATTAATTCTTTTCGTTATATTATAAGCAACTTAAAGTTAAGTAGTATATATAATTCGTATATAGCCTATTTATATAGCCGGGAATCGAGATATATTAAATATAAAGATATACCGAACGATAAGGATTTATTATTATCGACCTAAAGGGTATAAGGACTTCCTTCCGTAATATAATAATCTTATAATACGAGTAAAGAATAATATTTCGGTAACTAAAGGCGGTAATAAAGATAGACCGGAGTCGATATAATCGGTTACTAAAAGTTATAAATACTTACCTAAGAAGACCTATATTAATAAGATATATAATAATAAGGCGAGGAGATCGTTTTTACCTTCGAAGAGCCGTAAGAAGATCTTAATTAATATTAGTTATTATAAAGCGACGGATAATCTAATTACGAGAACCTTAAAGCTCTTAAACTCGAACGAAGCCGTATATAGCTTTAAAGTACGAGGGCTCGGCCGGACGGATTAGCTAGTAAAGTTAGAAAATATAGGATATTAGAGCCAAAGTTAAGAATAAGAATAAGTTAATTAGACTAATTAGACTAAGACTATAAGACTTACGGCGTTATAATAAGAAGACTAAACTAAAGGAGGGAAATTATAAACCTTATCTACCTCGAACTTAGCCCTAAATTATAATATAAGGTAGAGGATTAAAATAAACGAGACTAGTTTAGCGAGATATAAGAAAGAACTAAACGTTAGAGTAATAAGAGCGGCTAAAGTAATAGACGAAGAAGGGCGTCGGGAAGATATTTTTCGGATAAACGAGGTCTAAGAAAAGAAGGTTAAGAGTAATAATAAGCTTAATAAAGTAAAAAGAGCTAATAACTTAGAACTTAGTTAGACTAAGGAATAATTATAGAAAAATTAAAGAAATAAGAGAATAAGTAATAGTATTACGTTCGACTTAAATTATACCGGGCCGTAAACGAGGGATTTATACTAATTTAGCCTTCTATAAGCTAATTCTCTAATTAAGGGATTAGATTAGAAGAGTAAATTAGTTATATATTAAAAATTTCGAAAAGATATTAGCTAATTCCTATAAATCCGTTTCGCTTAGATTTATAAGAAGGAAGAAGCGCGACTAACGATAAGAATAGTTAACCTAATATTAGAAAAAAAACCTAAAACCTTACCTTATAAGCTAAACCTTTTCCCTCTCTCTCTTTTTTAATAACTATTCTTTAAATTCCCTTACCCCTTATCTTAGACTTATTACCTTATAACTAATACTAATACCTTTAAGCTTAGAAAACTAGACTTATATCTCCTAACCTATTTGATTAGGTTAATAATAATTACCTCGATTCTAAATAACTACTCCCTTCTTACCTTAGTTATAATAACGTTTTAAACTACGAGAAGATATCTTAACGTTATATTAGGACTAAACGACTATTATATCTTATTTAAGATAAGTCCCGGGTTTATATACTTAGACTCTTATATCGACTTATATATAAATATAAGACGAGTATTTAGTATATCCGCTTATTCGCTTTATATCAACTTCCCTTACGATAAAGACGAAGAGACTATATAACAAATAGCTATCGATATTATAGATTATATCGAAGCGACTTAGCTTAATTAGACTCCGACTATCTATATATTAAGACTTACCCCGAAACTAAATTACTTTATTTATAAGTTACGTTAATACGAGATATAAGCTACTAAGATTAATAAGCGTAACTACGATATTAGAAAGAAAGACTTAGAATAGATTATCTTTAAACGACTTACTTATATCTTAAACGTTATTATTACCGATTTCCTTATAAATAAGTACTTCCCTTAGATAAGAAATATACTTATACTTAACTTAGACCGCTTTAACTAGTTATTCCGGTATATCTTTTATATTTACGTATAAGGACTTTATAATCTAGAAGAGATACTTATAAGGAGAGAGCTATTTAATAAAAAGGTTATATTAGCTAAAGCTATATTAACTTTATCGGACTTAGTTAATAAGAACTACTTTTTCTTACCTTATATAACGTTAAGGCTATCTAATTAGAATCGCTTAAGTCTTAGTAGAAATAGCTTACCTTAGAGATATTAGACTAACCGGCGTTTCTAATTCTAACCGGTTCTCTTAGAAGATAAGGAGTTTAAGCTTACTATTTAAAAATCTCGGGTAAACTACGTTCCGTACGGATATTAGGTCGGAGTCTTAATAGATTTAAGCTATAGGAAGCCTACTTTTTAGTATCTTAACTTAGAAGAAGCGGGACGATCTAATCGGAGCTAATTTATATACTAAGGCTTTAAAGTTATATTTAGGGAGTATAGATAAAGAAGCGCCTTTTAAGCTAAAGTAAAGTAAAAGGTAATCCGATAAAGTATATAACTAAGTAAGTAGGAATATAAGTTAATTTTATTAGAAGGACTTCGATTAATATTTAGGAGGAAGCTATTAAATACCGACTATAAGCCTTTAGATTAGCTAACTAACGTAAAGGACTAACCAACTAATTAAGACGTTCGAACTATTACTTATAAGTAAGTATAAATAATACGCTTCGTACTAATAAAGTATAAGAGTAACGTAAGACTTATACGTATAAGATATCCGGTAATAAGAAATTATAAACCGGGGACGTTAATTATATTCTAAGACGAGTCTAATCTAATTATACTTTAAGACTAAGGACTTAACGCTAATTATCCCGATATAATACTTTATCTTTACGAAATAGATTAGATTAACCGCCTAATAATATAAGGATACGATATAACCTTTCTTATATATATAGCTAATAATCTAGTTATCCGGGGAGCTATAATATCTTCGTCTTATATTAAGACTTCGCTAATTACGTACGGGACCTTAATATAATCTTATAAGTCTACCCTTAATATACGGAATAAGTCCTTACCCCCGAGAGCTTAGTCTAATTATATAAGCGTTAATTAGTTTATATCCGAAGACCTTAGCGTTATATTAATCTCGCGGAAGGGGAAGAGTATTACTAAAACTAACCGAGCCTAAAGTATAAATAAGGATTTTATAATAGATAATATCCTTTATTCCGCCTCCTCTTATATAAGTAGCTCTTATAATCGATCTAATCGGTCCGACTTTATAAGTTTCCTATCCCTAATACCGAGTAAAGTTACTCGCTTAGTAATAAAAGGCTTACCTCTTACCGCCGTTACCCTTATTCCTCGAGTATTAGGGACTCTAACCCTACGGTAAATACGTCTACGCTCCGGTATTCTTCACCCGATAATAATAAGATCTCTACTTATTATCGTTACTCTTATTAAATAAACTTCGGAGGTATCGGCTTAGAGATAAACCCGGTTTTAGTCTTAGCGTAAAAGAACCTTACTTACTAAAATACCTACGAGGTAATAGCTTAGTCGTTAAAGTCGGAAGTAACCTAATTAGCCTCGGGTACTTCGTCTTATATTCGTAGAATAGTAAGAAATACGATATATCCCGACTTTCCCGGAAAAGTTAGTCTTAATAAATATACTTTTACCGTTTACCGTATTTAGATAACTTAACTAAGATATATATATAATTATAAGGGAAGGGAATCTAAGAATTAGACCGATTATCTAATCCGCTTTAACAATTATATAAGCTACTATTATAGAGTAAATACTAAGACGGGGCTCTATATTACGAGGTCGTATATAGAGATAGAGTAGAGGACGCCGTAGAGTCTAATTAGGTAACCGAGATAGACTTAATAAGTAGATACTTATATATTTAAGTTTTTATAAGCGTTTAAGAGATCGGGATTATAAGTAATAATACTAGTAGAGGATCTTTTTTATTAGTATAAGTTTAGTCGGCGCTACTTTAACCGGGGAGTTCTATATTTATCTTAGAGTTTTTAGCTTTGTTTCGTAAAAGAAGAGTAAAGACCCTTCCTTTCCCGAGTAAAAGATTAATATAAAGTATATAAGATAAGTAGGTATTATCTAATTAGACTAAGGGTATATTACGTATTCGATTATACTTAGAGAAAATAGAAAAATAGGAAGTATAAAGGGGCTCGTAGATAAGAGGGATATCTAAGGAAGGACTTTAGATAATTATAAATATACGACCTTTTACTTCTACCTCTCGACTCTATAACCGTCCTTCTAATCTAATTAGACTATCTCCTAAGCTAAGTACTTATAAAAAAAATATTTAGTAGACGTAATAACCGTCCTTAGGACTACTATCCTATATAACCTAAGGGGTAGGGCTCTACTCTCCTCTTTATAAGTATATTTAGTAGCCCGTTTTTAATATATACCGGATCGTAAGTCTTATTATTATAAGCGTAATAATTATATAAAATCGAGGTCTCTACGTCGAAGACGTAGTTAGGTAACGGTAACGTATTTACGTTTATTTTATAGTTCTTATTTATAGAACGTAAGCAATTTATATAGAATTTCTTCTATATAGCGATAAGATTAACGTTTAAAGGACGGCGGCGAGGAGGTATCTTAAAAATATAAAGGAGAAGCTTACTTAACGACGAGGATAAAAGGGCGAAAGAGCGGGTTATAAAGATATCCTTATAAGAAAGTATAGCTGCCGAGGAAACAAATAATCCTTAATAAGAGTAGGCGAAACGGTTACGATTTATTTATACTTTATTAGCGTAATTACTAATTATCGACGGCGTTAACTTAGATTAAGGATTCGCGATTATTATTAATTATATTAACCGCGTTACTTAGATAACGTACTTACGTCTCGCCCGCGTTTATACTATTATATTAGTACGTTACTACCGGATAATAACCTTCGTCTACGACCTTCCGTTCCCTTTATCGGAAGATGTTATCTTTTCTACTTAGACTATTTATATAAGGTCCCGGCTCCCGTAGTTCTTCTATAAGCTTAAGTGGTTAAGTAGTAAAGATGTTAGCTTATAGATTATATATAATTATCGTTACCGTAGCGATAGTTATATAAAGAGAACTAAAGTCCCGGGTTTAATTCCTAGCTTAGGTAAACTTTTTACCTTACCGATTAGTCGCTTATAATTTAGCAAATCGAAGCGTAGAAGCGAATAAGGATATTCGTTTAGGAGGAGGGAGGATAATTATAATAAGGTCCCGTAGTAATCCTTAAGAAGTACGGATTACGACGGGATTCCAAAAGGGATACGTATATATTATATAAGGGTCTCCTCCCTAATAGGACTAAAGAGTCAAATAATCGTACGTTATATAAGGCTTTCCTCTTCTTTTCTCTAAGAATTAGTCTTTATATAAGGATACTCGTATTATTACCAAATCGAATACTTATCCCCTTCGTACCTTACCTAACTCTTAGTATTATATAAAGACTCCTTTATATTAAGTTAGTTATCTAATTAAAAAGGAACTAAAGTAGCTACGGATATTAGATTAGGTTATCGAAAACGTAACTTTATACTTAAGAACGAACGTTAAATACCTAAAACTCGGACTAGTTTAATTATATCCCGAAACCCTTCTCTTTTAAAGAATATAACCGAAGGTCTTACGAACGTATCTACGCCGGCTTTTACTTAGTTTCGGAAACCGGAAAGATTAAGGTCTTCGTCCCTTAAACTCTACCTTATAATATTAAGATTAGCTAATATATCCCCCGAAGATAAGACTACGAAATAAGATAATAAATCCCCTCCGGCCGCGTCTAATTAGATAAAAGAAAATATTATAACTATTTTATAATTCCTTATTTAAAAGGAGCTTCGTATAACTAAGACCGTTATTATAAAAATCGGTAAGAAATTTAAAAGTAATAATATTACTAATTTCTTTAAGAGATTTAAAGTTAATACTAAGGCTTAAGGAATCTTATCCGATTAAGATTACGCTAATTATATAATACTATATTATTTAGATACCTTTATATACGATAAAGTTAAAGTATATATCGACGAATCTTTTTAAAAGAAAACTAAATCTTAACTTAAGACCGTATTTAAGTTATACGACCCTAAATAACTTCTAAACCTAACTAATTAGATCGACGCTATTCTTAGTAAAGATATACCTAATAATATAGAGAAAATTAAAGTAATTTTAGAGAAGGTCGATCGTCTCGCCTAAAAGATAATTAAGAAGGAACTTACTAATCCTAATAAGTACGACTATTAGAAGAAGTTTTATTATATATTACTTAAAGAATAAAAAACTAAGATAAACGACTAATTCTTAGTTAGAGATATCGAGCTTAATAATATTATTTAAACTAAGTATTATAAGTACCTTATTAAAACTTTAGATAAGACTATTATAGATTCGTTAGAAGCGAAAATCGGAAGAGCTAAGAATAAGGTAACTACTACGAAACGTATCGTAAGCCGAGGAAGAAAATCATCGATCTTCCTAAATAACGAAGACTTTAATTAAAGTATAGATATTATAACTAACTTAAAAGATAAGCTGCTAATAGCTAAGAAAAGTAAGAAAAGAAAGAAAAATAAGAAGTTACTTATTACCCTTAATTCGGATAATAAAAGTAATTCCGGGAATAACGATAACTTTAATTAGGTCGAAGTAAAGAAGACTAAAAAACGTAAGAAAGCTAAGAAAGTTAAGGATAAGAAAGACGATAAGATTATAACGCTAATAAACGTTATTAAAAAACTAGTTATTAATAATACTTAGATTATCTAAGACTTAAGGGTTATAATAGCCGTATAAAATAAGGGATTTAGGTTAACGAATATTAAAGTTTACGGTAATTTGTTACCCGTTATACGAAATAATAATTTTAATATTTAAAGACTTTAAGACTAAGTCCTTACTACGCCGTAGTAATATTAGTAATAACTACTTAATTAAGGGTATCGGTTTAATAATAAGAGATAAGGATCTTATAAGAGAGATAGATATTATTTATTCGATTAAACTAAGTCTAGAAATCGTATAAGGGGGCTAAGTAACTACTTTTTCTATAATATCGAAGGATATATCGTTCGGGAGTATAATATATCGTCTTAGCTAAGAAATTTAAACGTCTTTTATATTAAAGGATACTCGGTAATTATCGGCTTTAAGGATAATAATAACTATAAAATCCCGGACGATATATACCGAGATAAGTATAAGTATCGGTAATTCGACCTAATTATAACTATAATTATAATAAACGAAATACCGGAAGTATAAAACTATTTAAACTCTTATCTTAATTATACCCCGAACTTTAATATATTCTCGGGTTAATATAAGTATAATAAGGAGAATAACTATATTAATATCGAAGAGATTAAAGTTAAGTAGGTTATTAAAGTAAAGCCGATAACGTTTAACTTAAATATCGTAATTATAAATAGTAATACTTTAAGTAATTATAAATACCTTAATCCCGAGAAGATAACGTACGAGAAGGAAGAATACGGCGAAACCGGTACGATTTATCTAATTCTTATTATTAATAAGAATATTACGATTCTAAATAATTAGACTCGAATCTTAAGAGAAGGAGTAGACGTTTAAAAGAAGCGGAAAGCTATTAAAGAATTCCTCCCTTATACGAGAGTAGAAGAAGTAACTAACGAAGATCTTATCTAATATTTATAAACCCGAGATACTTTAGTTATATCTAATTAGACCCGGATTAATAATATTAATAAGAAAGATAAAGAAGGGGAGGGAAATAAAGCGAAGCTTATAAATATTAAACTTAGTACTCTTAAATAAAACTACGTAAAAGGTATTATAATAAAGAGGTAGAAGTTAACCGAAGATACCGTTATAAAAGAAGTATTAAATAAGATATTAGTTAGTAAAGTTAACGTTAAGGCTTAGTACTTAGTCTTATTTAATCCGCGTCTCTTTAATTAGTTTATTAACGTTTTAAAAGCTAAAACGGATCCGTTAGAAACGGTATATATCGACGGTATACGACCTAATAACCTAAGAGAAGAAAATAATACCGAATCGTTATACTTAACCGTTATTTATTATAATAATAACGAGATCGTAGTAATTAAAGGCTTAAAGATAAGAAAATATTTTATCGAAGAGATTCCCGGGTACGTAGAAGATATTATAATAGCTATAAACCTCGTCTTTATATTTAAAGGATATAACCCGATTAGAGTAACGGTTATAAGGAGCTTACCGATCGTATACGTTAGAGTAGGCTTAGATAAGACTTTATCGGTTATTATAATAATTATCGATATAGGGTCCGAGACTAATATTATACCGTTAAAGTACGTTAAAAGGAATAGGCTTATTATTAAGCTAATAGAGTATATCCGATTAAAAAGAGTATACGTAAGGGAGGTGCTTTTTAAAGAAATAGTAACGGAGAGGCTTTATATCGGAGGATATTCTAAGATAATAAAATTTATAATACTCCCGTAAGATTATATAAATAAACTATTACTCGGAATAGCCTTTATCTCTAATTAGGAACTTAACTTTATTTAGGAAGTAATAAAAAGTAAACGAACGTTTAAAGTAAAGTTTAAGCTAAGAAATATTAAGATAATAATATCTTACTAAACCGACGATACCGTAGATATATACGTCGGAGTAGCTAAGTTAAATAATATAATTAAAGTATACTATTTTATAAAACCGTTAAAAAATAAGAGGTTAGTAATTTTTTCGGAGAGGTTATTAATAGATAAGATTTAATCCCGGATTAGATAAAGTTGGAAGAATAAGAAGAGCTACTCGGTTAAATCGAAGATTTTATAATATCCGAAATATTTAAGTTAATCGGCTCTTATTCTAATATTATAATATTATTATACCTCTTTCAAATAGTAATAAACTCTAATTAGATATAAGACTTTAGTTAAGAAAGATATAACCTTTTAAGTTATTCGTTATAAGAATATTTCGAGAATATACCTTATAATAGTTATATGTTATATAAGAATAAAGCTATTAAAGTTTAGCTAATTAACGATATATCCTCGAATAAATCGGTATCCGAAAGAGACTCTTATTAGCGATTAAAGAGATAAGAAGAGGTAAAAGACGATTACCGCTTTAAGAGTAAATAAGATAATTATATTTATCTACGTTTCTCGAAAATAAAGAAGGGCTATTATCTAATAAAGGACCGTTTATAAGAAATTATAAACCGTATTAAAGGGTTAATAAAAAAGGAAGGCGAGTTATTTCGTTATATCCTCTTTATAAAGGAGGAGGTATTAGCTTAGGATTTTATATATTTAAATAAGATTCGGGAAGACGTAATACCGCCTTAAGTAATTAGAACGATCCTTTATAAAATATAGTAAACGAAGAACGTAAATATCTTAAAAGCTTTACTTTTAATTATAATCGAGATTCTAAAAGATCGAGTAAGAAAAGGGGTTATTAAAGAAAGTTATAAGGCTTATCGGAACTTATAATTTCTAATCCGAAAAAAGGATAAAGGATATCGACTAATTAATAACGCTACTAAATATAATAAAGTTACGATACGAGACGTTATAATTCTTACCGAGACTAAAGAAGTAATAAAGAAGTTCGTTATAAATAAGATCTTAACTTTTATAAACCTCTTTTCCGGGTACGACTAAATACTATTATATCCGATTAGTCGGGATCTAATAATTTTTCTTATACCGATCGGTTTATTCCGAATATATACGTTATTATAAAGAGTTACGAACTTAATAGCTTAGTTCCTTAAAGTTATTATAAGAATTATTTACGACTTAGTCCTCGACGTTTATAGACTATTTATAAACGATATAAGTATTAAAGGCCCTAAGTCTACTTATAATAAAGTTAAGGCTTTACTAAGAGTTAGAAAATATATATTAAAGTACTTAGTTAATATAAATAAGACTTTAATAAATATAAAGCTAATAAGAGCTATTATATTAATAATAAAAACTTAGTAATATTAGGAAAAGGGTATCTTCTTAAGATTTTTTTATAATACCGATAAGCGTTTACTTAATTAGAAGAAGTTAATTAAGTTAGAGGAATAAATAGATTATAAAAACCCTTTAGATATTCGGCGATTCCTTAGTCTCGTAA